AAAAAAAAAAAAAAAAAAAAAAGTTTGATTCCTCTCTTTTTTTTTCTTTTTTTTTTTTATATTTTGGATTAAATGTTCGACTTTTTAATTAGTAAATGTTTAGAAATATTAATTTTACAATTTATTAATTTAATGAAATATTGAGTTATTTAATTATATTTAGTACGGATATGAAGGCTTAAACCTTCATTCTCACGATAGCACAATCAAATTATTGCTGAGGAATAATAATAATGCAACAAAGAAACATATATTTACAAAAAATTTAAGAAATTAAATGTACACATTGGAACTTATAACCAAATTAGATTTTAATATATTAATGGATAAACTTTTAATGTTTTAATAATAAACTTTAACTTTAATTTAATATTTGATTTTGACATGTTTCTTTAAATATAATAATAATAAAATACAAATGGTTTTTAATACAAATTCTTTCTTTATAAAGAAACCTTTACATTTAATAAAAATTATTCCATTCCCATTTTTAAAAAAATGACAAATCAAATAAAAAAAGTTGATTTGATAAGAAAAATAATAATTAAAAAAGAATTCATGAGTGATTTCATTAAAAAGTACTACTAATAAATTTTTCTTAAAAAAGTTTTATTTTCTAATGAATAATTAAGAATTAATGCAGCAATAAATTATAAATACATGGATTAGTCTAAGAACTTTTTAATTAATAAATATAAACATGTATTAAGTAAATAATAAAGATAAGTTCACAGGGAGTGGTGAGAAAAAAAAAAGAATAAAAGGGGATTAGTTAGAATTTTTGAGTTTTGTGTTCCAATTTCAAACCTTTAATTTTTTTAATAAATAGCATATACATTCAATCGTGGGAGAAAGGCGGTGACTCATTATTTCGATGAATCATTTCTTCGGACAGAAGAGAATTATGTGTACACTTACTCGAAATCTCACTTATACACAATTTTTTCTGGAGAATTCGCCATGATATAGCTTATCCATGCATAATATCACGAAAAATGGATATAAATTTTTGGCTGCTACTTATACTTAGTATCAACAATAGGTCTGAAAAAATATCTAAAAATGGAAAGTTTAGATATTTGTACCCTGTGGAAGTAAAGAAGCATGGCATATATGTTTGGAATAGATTCCATTTTGAGTTGGAGAAAGGCGAGGGATGAACAGCATATTGATTCGGTTGCAAATTTGTGGTTAAATTTCAACTCTCTAGTTCTATGTGTGTGCATCCATTTGAAGCTATAAGAACACATTCTTGAGGGAGTTCATCCCACAATATTCATTGTCAATAACCTTCTTCGTTCCACTCTCCGGTATCAAAATCAAACGCCAAATGCATCATTTTCTTCTTAATTTTCTTACTGCCCCTTACGCATTGTTTGTCATTTGATATGAAACTGCTTCTTGGTAATAGTCCTTTGCTGCTTCTAGAAGAGCTTCACAGGAACATATCATCATGTCCAACTTATACAGTACACAGGCTTCAGCACAAACAAAGGATTCAGGGTACATTGAGTTAAACTTTAACTATTTATTCCTTCTTTGCACTCTTCTGCATGGTTTGAGCATAAACATGGTTTAGTCACAGGTTTAAGGGGCATGATATGCTTGCACCTTTCACTACAGGATGGCAGTGCACAAATGAAAATCCACTAGTTATAGAAAGATCAGAGGTATCCTTCATGTGTATTAAACGAATGGATAATAAAACAGAAGATATTGTTTTTTCATTCTACTTTGTATTTGGATTCCATGGTGACACAGGGTTCATACGTATATGACACTAATGGAAGGAAGTACCTTGATTCTCTTGCTGGTCTATGGTGCACATCCTTAGGTACCACAATCTGCATGAACACGAACTTTTGTTCTGCATATATTAAAGTGTAGTTAAGTTAGTAAAGGCAATGTTGGAATTTGTAGGGGGAAATGAACCACGAC